AAAAAAAAAAAAAAAAAAAAAAAAAAAGAACGAAAGTTTGTGGAAAATTTGCAGTTGTTATTTAGAAATTTCCACTTCAATAAGCAGCGGAAGATGTCCAAGTGGATTCGATTGTGATCCTAACGGACAATTGTACTGTGTACCGTCGTCGGCCATCAGAGACTGTATCGTCGACTGTCCGAACGCTGCTGATGAATGCCTGTTTTTTCTTTTTTATTTTATTTCTTTTTCCTGCTTTACGGTTAACAACGACGGTAATGATGGTGTTGACATTTTTTATTTTTACTATTCATTCGGCCAAAACAAATTTCCCATTAGTTCAAAGGCTATTTAATTTGTGACAATCTTTTGTTGTTGTTGTTTTTGTTGGAAGGAAAAAGTTATATATCACCAATTTTTGATCACCAAATTTCAGTTTTTCTCGTTTACCTAAAAGTTATACGTCCGAATTTAGTGTGCCAGAACAATGAAATTTTATGCGATACACATTTGCAAAACGGATGCGGCAAGTGTGTTTCAAAAAACCTTGCTGACCAACAGTGTAGCGATCGAAAATGTACATCTATTATATGCACTTTGATTACCAGTAACATTGGCTAGTAGTTCAACTTTAGATGTGTTTCCTTTAAATCTAGTAATATAAGATAATCGGCTGTCTTGTCATTGGTTTCCTCTTTCCGCATTATTAAGACAAATCACTTTGATTTTTGTTCTCTTTCCTTTGTACTGCCCGTATTATAACATGACAATGTCATAAATTTGGTCTGTTTATCCTGCTAGGGTTAAAGGTTTTTAAATAATCGTAAATTAGAGCCTCTCAGCAGATTGTTGCCTCTAAGCCGTTACAGTTTAGGACATGACGATAGGGAGAGAGGAAATAATGCAATTTCTGCAAAAAACTGCAAAACTGTTTAATAAGTTTACTGAAGATCAATGAATATTTCGCAAAAACAATTTTTAGAATAAATATAATTTTGAAATAAGCTCAAAAAGTACCAGACAACAAATATCCCTCAAATTATCCTCACAACATGAAGTTGTCGTTAGCTAATGCTCAAAGAATTGTGCTTTTTAGGGCGAAATTTATGCGAAGAACAAAAACACTTCAAATGTTTAACAACACTGAACTGCGTTTTATTAGACTGGGTTAACGATGGTAACGATGACTGCGGTGATAATTCGGATGAAGGTTTAATCCTATGCTTTACTATCCCTTTGTTGTTGTCGTCGTCGTAAGGATGGTAACTACCTTTTAAGAGGCTGTGACAGCCTTTGGCTGTTTCGTTGTGCAGTAGAGACCAGAGAACGGCTTAAATGTTTGTATCAGCATGAAAAGTACAAGGAACTGAGAAGATTACCGCTATTAGAGGGTCCGTAAACTAGATGAGTATGTCAAATTAATTTCGCAATGGTGGTTTAGGCATTATCAAGAAAAAGACACAGAGTTAAGGTTTTATACTTTTACACGTTGCCATTACAATAAACCGAAAGTAGACTATAATATTATTGACGGTACACAACCGTTACTTCACTATTGCCGTTGTTTGAAATCTCCGTTGACATTTGGCTTTGAGCTTCCGTATAAATTAATAAAATATCAAGAAACTATTACAAGTCTTTGAGACCAACGTAAAAAATTTATTTGCAATAAAAGCCATCAAAATAGGAAAAGCTCATTCTCTTACTTCTATCGCCGTATCGTTTCTTCTTTTGTCAGATGAAAAAATGGCGTTGGGATGCCTAGTTTTACCCTAAACAACGTGTCCATATGTTCTTCTTCCATTTAAATATTACTATAAATTTTTGCACGAGTATAAAATAGTATTTGATCTGTAATGGAAGAAAATTCTGTTGCAGCAGAGTGATTACTACATGTATTTCATGATATAGCAAATGGATTGTCATGCTTCAATTTACTATTAACATCAGTGAAGAGAAAGATATATTTTATATTTACTGAAGTTGACTGTAACACAACAGTTGCAGTTTATCTGAGAGCTGAATGTTTTTTTCTGTTTCCAGATCCGTGTTCTACAGGACCGACTACGTGTGAAGAAAAAAACAAAACTATGGCTGTCGATCATCCTCTTTCGTTCATCACAGTGCATTATAATCACAGTATTGCCTGCTGTATAAAAGACACTTATTTGTATTCTAAAAAGTTTCTTTTAGTCTGAAAACAACAAAATTATTATTGTTTATTGCTATAGTGCCTTGAAATATATCCGAATTTCATTAAACACTTTACTTTAATAGAACAAGATTGTAAACGCTTCATCTAGAGCATGATGGAAAATGTATTCATGGTGAATTTCAATGCTTGAATGGCGAAGAATGTATACCTGTCTACATGGTTTTTGATGGGGTCGAGCAGTGCTCAGATGGAAGCGACGAAAGTCAGGCAATTAGCAATATTTGCTTTACAACATTACTATATACTTATTAAAAACTAATTTCAAAGTTTAGCCAAAAAGACAGATAACTAGCTACCCAACACAAAAAATCACTTAAACAACAAGATTATACAAAAAGTGACTAACAGAAATTTTTATTTCATATTTGTGCAGTGTTTTAAGCTACTTTTTCTGTGAAGCTAAACAACTTTTTTAGATTACTGCAAGCTACCAGAAATTTCAAACTGTGTAGAAATAAATCGTCCGTGCAGCTTTAATCCAACAATTGCTGCATTTACCTGTGGGTGCCCACTGGGCAACTTCAGAACCGATGAGGGAATATGCCGAGCAATGACTTGTACACTGTTTTCTCCAACTTCTTGTTTTTCAAAATTTTAATGATTCATGAACAATTTTGACAGAAGAACTTCTAATAACTACTCTTTTTTAGTACCACAATACGCCTTTGACTGTGCAGACTTACAGATGCAGTATCCGAGAATTCCATCTGGTAAATATACTGTTTATGACTGTACCTGTCCAGAACCAAAATTATGCAAAACCACCGTTATATGTGATATGGAAACTTTGGGAGGAGGTTGGACGGTAGGTTTCTGAATATTTTATTATCGCGTTTTTTTCAAACTTTCCTTCCATTTTTCCTATTTTCAATCTGACAATCCTGAAACTGTTGCAGGAGACATTCAAGACAGTTTCCACAGTAAAATTACACTAATCAAAAAATATTCAAGACTGGAAAATGATAAATAAAGCAAATAAGAAATATTTTAGTTCCTTATTTGCTATCAAGTTTATCAAGATAGACAAACTCATTGGATTAGAGTATTTTTAGCATTTTTAGAAAGAAATTATAATCCAAAACCCAATAATTTGTTCTTCAAAATTTCTTTAGCTAGCTATCAAACTGTTCACAAACCTCTTAAAACCTACAATTCTAAAAAACATTTACCAGAGATATCAGTCCTTAAAAAACAAATCTTAAGAGTAACAAATGAGATTTGTCATTGAAAACCGATGAACCTCCAAAAGGAAGAAAATTTTTAATTTCTTGCCAACAGACAACATCACTTCTGTATAGTCTTTCCGACCCTCTCCTACCTTATAGCACTTGTTCAACCAATACAAAATTTAAGTTTCAGTTTCTCATTAAGGTAAAAAGAAATAAACAAATGAAATAAAAGTTAATATGAAAAGTCATCCATAAGATGCTTTTAAGAAGGTTATGGATTTGAGTGTACAAGGTGTACTGGGCAGCAACAATACAATACTGTCGTTTCGGAAATGCGCTGTTTTCCGCGAAATGAATCACAAGATGTTACAGGTTTTAATGCAACGCCTCAATTCCACAATTCCATTTGATCAAACAAGAGACAGCTATGAGAAGGGATTCTGGATTAATGAGGATAATTTTTGGATTGGTAAGCTTTTAAGAAAACTGTTTCATTTAAACTATCGAGCAGCACACTCCAAAAATAAATTGACATAAACGGGGACCAACAAGTGCAAAGCATGAAAAAGAAAGATTCCAATTTAGCATCGTTTTAAAAATTTAGATTTAAGGGTTAGAACAGATGGCCACGTTAACAAACCGATGTTTAAATGAATTCCTTGTGAAAGTTAGAAGCTCCGTGAACAATAAAATTATCATCACTCGATACTCTGAAGTAGTTGTTTGCAACAAAGCCACCGGCTATCGCCTCAATCTTGGAACATTAATTTATACCAACCAACTGATTAGTAAGACAGCCATTAAGACATTTACGAGAAACCCAATATGTATAAAATATGAAAAACCCAGCAAAGATTTAGATCTCTTGTCACCATCACCACCACCATTTTACAAATACTTAGCAACCTCCACCACAACTAACTCCCCAAATAAAGACAATTGCTTGTCAGTATAAAAAATTACCAAAAAGTTTTTCTAGCATATGACGAACTTAATGGTAGCAGAATGAAGCCATTCGCATTAGGTAGCGAATTAAATTGTACCATCAAAGAATGGGGCTGGTGGACATCGACATGTGATCTCCGAGGTGTTCTAACCAGTTTGAATACTGCCCGTGATGACTATAGCGGAATGATTTGGCATGGTCAACGAATTTCAGCAGTTCAGATGCTTATTCGTAACAAAGCTTATATACCTCCGCTTAAATCAGTTGTTTATTTCTATTAAAAGCAATAAAGAACTGCTATATATACACTGTTATTACAAAATTTACAGCAACCCCTGTTACCATCTTCACAATACTTTAAACAATCAAGCGATCTATAGATAACAAAAAGAAAGAATTCACAACTTTTACGCTCCATACTGTAAAACACACGAAAAAAAACTAGCAGTAGTTACAGCACAGAAACCGCGATTGTTACAATCTACGTTGTCCGTTCCAAAATTCACACAGGAGTATAGGCAGAGAAAAAATACCCATAATAACTTCCACAGGTGCTTAAATATATGCAGATAACAACGTCAAAACAGAAGAAACTTCGATATACTTCAATAGACAACATAACAAAGACTAGAACAGAAAGTGAAAATCTACAAGGCCTCATAGATAGAAGAAATCAGACTAGTGCCTAACAATGTTCCTTTAAATGGCATACTTGCACGAGCATAACTCAAGCGTAACTTTGAATAGGCTGTCAAATAAGTATTAAAAAAAGAAGGCGGCCTTAAAAAAGGCAAATTATCAATTTATATACAGACGACCAAAAGTTCAAGTAAGTTAAGTTGCTCTTTGCAGCAAACGCAGAACTTTGATCAGCTCTTTGTCCTAACATTTTCACTCAACAACTGAATCAATCCTACGCTATAAAATCACTTACAACTGTTGAAAAGGCAAATAAGAATTTAGAAAAAGAAGACTAGAAAAAATAACAAATTGAGCAAATTTCGTCAATACGCAGATGACAAGTGACAGAGTTGTTAAGCAGTTATGTATATGAGAACATCCTGTTATAACACTCAGAAAATACAAATAATGTCAAGGACATCACGAAGTCCAAAACGCAACGTAAGTTTCCTAAAAATAAAACCACGATTAACAAGCAAAAAATCAAGTTATTTGAGCTCACTTCTGTAAATTACTAATTTCGCAACTTTCAGTCGTTCCGCCTCCCCTTCCCCTCAATTAGACGTGTTCTAAAGTCCTAATCAGCGTGTTTTTCCCAACTCTGCAAGCGACTAAACTGTTAACGTTATATCACTAAACATCTTTTATTCGTCCCTTTCGGGGATCTCAAAATCATCTGCGGCGATTCGTTCATAATCGTAACGTTCAAATTCATCTTCCTCCTCCTCTTCTGCAACAGTATTATCTTCTTCGTCCAATATTCCTAAAAGCGTGACGATTGCAAAGTGACAAAAACATAGCCGAAAGACAGACACCTCACAACAAATAAAAAACGAAAAATTTGTTGCAAAAACTGCCACATCAACGAAGCTAACCGTCGAATAAGCGATTGTAGCAAGATGAACCCAAAGAAGAAAAATGTTTGTAGGGATCACCAGATGTAAGAGAACGTTTACAAAGCCAGCAGAATGGCTTGTGACACTTCCCACAAACCATCTTATTGCAGCCATCGCTTTTCTAAATAATACAGCTCAAAAATTCATTCAGAGAACAAATCTCCTCATTTTACATAACTACAGCTAAGATTAGAAATCATTTAGTTGTAAAAAAAATACAGGAAAAAAATTGAATAATGCTGATTACTGACAAAATGCCGATAACAGCCTATTAATAAATCCGGTAATCGCATAAAGTTCTTTAATTAACAAGTTCTTTCTTAAAGAAAAACCTGTATGGGAGATCTGCAACTAGGACATGGAATGCTGTTACGCTCAATCCACCTATCACTTTTTGCTGCCTCCAGCTGCTTTAGAAAAGCAGCTTTCCCTCCAAAACGGTTGAAGAAGACATCTTTTTCGTCGGGGGATGCATTTTCGTAGTGCTCAAGTAACTTCCTTCTCAAGTCTAAATGTCGCATCAAAAATTCCAAATCAAGGAACTTCACGTTAAACATGACTTGAAAGTTTTGGCACCAGAAGCAAATTTAAAACAACCTCTGTCAAGCGAACACTTTTCTACGCCGTGATACGTTTTCCTGCATATTGTACAAAATGTATAATTGCACACAGGGCAACGACCTAGTAGAACATACCTAAATCAAGAAACATATATGAAGACTACTATCTAAGACGTTCTACGTTTCGAGCAATATGAACGTATAGCCACTAAAGTGCAATACATTACTGAAGCAATTCACTGTGATCTCAAAGTGAGAAACCCAACGCTGATTTCAATAAAACAAAAAGTAAATATTTCGATTTTCTAAAGGTGCTAGCTTTTACAATATTAATAAC